TTTTCATGGTAACAATAATATAAACTTAACATAACGCTACTTAGTCAATTTATATTAAATTCTCTATATAATTTTGGTGTACTTGTTTATGAACAGCGTATTGGCTTTAAAGTTTTTGTACTCCTTTACAGGTATATTGTGATATGAAACAATATATTCGCAAAAACGTAGCTCTCCAGCAACACCGATAGAGACGCCAACTGTGTTTTTTCCAGTTTTTGATTTTTACTTTTTAACTGTTTTTATTGCCAAGTGAGAGAATAAAATAATTTATTCAAAAAACATTTTCAGATTCAGCTTTATATTCCAGTGAAAGTGAAAGCTGTGTCTTTAAACTGCTTACGTTTTTTTTTAATGTTTCTACTATTTTTTAAAAAGTGGATGACGTTTAAGATGCCATATTGAAACTTCCTTTAGAAAGAAGAAAGACTAACATAGAGCCTCGACTGTCATCTAAGAACCCTAAAAGGGGAGATGTAAGAAATGTCCGAAACACTTAAACAAAATTGAATTTATCTTTCAACCTTTTAAATACATCAGTAAAGCGTGAAATACAAGTATACACGTAGAAATTTCTTATTATCACTAATATAGAATGTTATAAAATTACTATTGGAAAACTTATTGTTATTTATTTCATATTACATCGTTCGAATTCTTGTGAATTATCGAGCAAGCTTACAAGTTAGTTAATAATACTGTCAGCAGATGGCAAAGCCGTATAACTGCACTAATTGTAGGATATATAGGTACATCTTGAACTCTTTATTTGTATGCTGTTGACACTAGCAGCAAATTAGCTAGTGAAAATATACGAGTTAATATTACTTTATAAATTGGACATGGCACTAAAAGGGTATGTAAATTAAAATAGCGGACAATGGACAAAATGTAAGATACTGTAAGTAATATAACAACAATGTAACAAGGGTTATTACCTAGGATTCAATAAGAGTGCAAACAAAATAACAATTCCTGAGAGGGAGGAAGAGGTCAACGCTGAACCTGACCATCCCTGGTCCAAAACATGGACCGAATCCAGATTAAGAGGAAGTTACACAGGATCTTTCGTTTTATAATTCTCCTTCAGTTAGTTTCAAGTATCAAGATATATTAATATAATCAGTAATGCTATTGTGATAAAAAAAATTAAAAAGCTATAAAGGTTTGTTAAAGGTTAAATTTATAAAGAAATAAAAATGAAACGTAGCTAATTTAACGAGTTTTATCGTAATTTCACGAAAGACTAAAAATTTGTAATAATATATTTCATTTTAGACATAAGGTGCTCAGATTCGGACAAAGTCCAAAGTTTTACTGCCCAGCTTTCACTTCCTTCTGGTTTTAAGACTGCACCGATGTTCAACAATGTCCCAGCATTGAACCCTTCTCGTTCGTCTGAGTGTGGGATTTTTCAGAATTCACCCAACTCTAATCGTTACACACTTGAAATAACCAATTTTGACAAATGTGGAGTTGAACGCCAGACTGGACAAGACGGCAAAGTAAGACTTGTAGTACTTCTGGTTTTATCTATGTAATTAGTTCATGAACAAACAGTTGACACTGGGAGAATTGATTCTCTATAAACTTGGCACTAGGATAATTTTTTAAAATATAAACACGTCACTGGAAGGGTTGTTTATCTATAAACTTGGCATTGAGAGAGTTGGTTATCTATAAATCTGTCATTGAGAGAGCTGGTTATCTATAAACACGTCACTGAGATAGTTGATTATCTATAAACACGTCACTGAGATAGCTGGTTATCTATAAACACGTCACTGGAAGGGTTGATTATCTATAAACTTGGCACTGAGAGAGTTGGTTATCTATAAACACGTCACTGAGATAGTTGGTTATCTATAAACACGTCACTGGAAGGGTTGATTATCTATAAACTTGGCACTGAGAGAGTTGGTTATTTATAAACACATCACTGAGAGAGTTGGTTATCTATAAATCTGTCACTGGGAAATCTGTTTATTTATAAGCATGTCGTGAGAGATTGTTTTATTTATAAACACGTCATTGTGTAACTTGTTTACTTACAAACATATTAGTCGGAGAGTATTTTTAACTATAAACATATCATGGAAGAGTGTTTTTTATCTATAAACATATCACTTGGAGATTTGCCTATCTATAAACATGGCTCTGGTAGAGTTGTTTATCTAGAAACATGCTACTTGGAAAGTTTTTATCTATACGTGTGGTATTAAAAGTCAGTATAATAGATACTTGCTTTTAAATCACTTTATCGTTTAACTTGCCCCCCAGTGGCACAGCGGTATGTCTGCGGACTTACAACGCTAGAAACCGGGTTTCGATACCCGTGGTGGGCAGAGCACAGATAGCCTTTGTGTAGCTTTGTGCATAATTAAAAACAAAACAAATAAACAATCGTTTAACTTTATTTTTTATATTATTCTGCCCCTTTAACTTTTTCTTGACTCATTTTCTATTTTTTATTTTTAAATTAGCTCCTAATTGCTTACTTTTTACTAATTCAGTTCCTAATTTTTAGTTTCATATCTTTGATTTTTTCATTTTCATATATTTCCTGTTTTATTTCTTTCGATTTCTTTCTAATCTTTTATATTTTGTTCTTTTCTTACCTTTCTTATTGGTTTAATGCTAAAATTTTAATCGATTAGCAAATTATTATATGTTTTTCTATTTTTCATTGGAGTAGTTCCTTTTTAAATATTTGTTCAGCAATTTGTACAACTTTCTTGCTAATTTATTTAGTTTTACTCACACAAATACTATTTTAGTTTTTCATTTTTCCAATTTTTTTGTTTATTAATTTAATTACTGTCATTCTATTAATATTAATTTTATTCCTATTCTTTCACATATTTTATTGTTTTCAGGAGTGGCTATCTATTACTGTCAGATTTCCTTTCATTGCGGGGTTGAGAATGGCTGAAGACGAATACATCATGGTTATGTGCCGGCCTCAAGAAAAGACAATCTCCAAAAATAAAGCTTTAGATTTACGTGGAAACTTGTAAGTTTATAGCTCTATTGGTCTGATATTTCACCCGGGTAACACACAAAATATCATTCAAATTCGCAGGATATACATATATTTTCAAAATTTGAATTTGTTTTTTACAACTGCTAATTTCGAATAATTATTAGATTTTCAGGACTTTAAGTTAAAGCAAAAATTCTCTCTTTCTTTCATCTTCAGGTAACAACTGAATGTGTAGTGTATATTCAGTAAAAAAAACGTAAATACAATAGTCTGTAGATGAGGTGACTTGAGGTGCTTGGAGAAACAAAATCAAATACACTCAACGTTCATTTTAAAACTGTGGAATACGCCCTCTTAGATGTTATTTTGAACTTTTATTAGAGATATATAAACAAACCAGCAACTGAGTGTTCGTAGATTTTGTAGAGTAGAATTAAGAATTCAGTTATTATCCATACCTTGGGTTTTTATCATTTATTATATATTGATTTGAAAGTATGTTCCTCGTGTGAGTTTTAAATTCATGGTAAATAATGTATTCTAATTGTTTTGAAACAAATGCATCAAAGAGCTGTTAAGAAATATAACTTATAACATTAACTAAAAAGTTTTTTAGAAAATGAATCTTGAAAAAGTGGCTTTTCAAAAATGAAATTCCATTGTGAATGAAAGTTTCCAATACTTATTTTTTCAGAAAGATACTTTATATTATTTATAAATAGTTAATCCTTTCCATTTTAGATTCATAACGAAATATTGTTTTTTTAATCATATTTTAGAAATATAATGTTTTTTGAAATGTCAAATTATTATATAAGTAAAAGATATAGAAGTAGACTCAGTTGTAAAAGGTTAACCACTTTAATTCTGTCTGTAGTTAGTCAATGAAATGATAAACCAATTTAAATAATACGTTTTTTTAAATACATGAAATAAAAAATGCCCATTAAAAGGTGTTGAAATCTAGTTCAGATGAACTTCGCTAGATAGCGAGTAATATATAATCACCTGATGTTGGTCAATAATAAGAGATGTTATACTTGTACAGCAAGAATAAACAGCGCCATATCACTTCCATAATGTAGCTCTACAACTCTTAATCTCGTATTACTGGAATAATTATTTTTCAGTATTTGTTTTGTTGTTAAGGGCAAAGTTACACAATTAATAATAAGTGCTGTACTCACCGTGGTTATCGAAATCCGATCTTTAGCGCTATGAGCCTTGAGAGGTTTTTCTTTCTACACACACACACACACACACACACATATATATATATATATATATAGCAGTTGATAGGGTTGCAGCGATTTACAAGATTATATTTGAAGATGTTATTACTTCAAGCGTAATTGAAATTTATTTGAACCCAAAGTCCCCCCCCCCAGTGGCATAGCGGTATGTCTGCGGACTTACGACGTTAGAAACCGGGTTTCGATCCCCCTGGTGGGTAGAGCACAGATAGCCCATTGTGTAGCTTTGTGCTTAATTACAAACAAACAATTGAACCCAAACATTTCGGGCGGTCGTTCTTTCGGTAGCTCAAGTAACAGGAGTTTTTTAAATTAATGAATATGCGTTAAGGATATGGATATACTGTTTTGATTAAACGAATTATATCAATGATATTGAAGAAAGATCAAGAGGCAGAATTTATATATCAATATGATCGAGCAGATTTTATAAAGCTGCAAATAAAACAATAGCAAGACATAACTGAGAAGTAATTCAAAACGTCAGGATTGTTTATTTTAAGTGCAAAGTGACGCAATAGGCTATCTCCGCTGTGCTCAATGCGGGTATCGAAGCCCGATTTTACCATTAAAAGTTTTTCTGTTGAGTCGCCTGGGGGTTGACATGTAAGGAAGGCAGGTATTAAGTAATTTGATGACAAACAAGATTATCATTCGGTATTATGATTTCTATAGGTGCTTCAAAATTCAGTGAAAATAATAACATAACCGTTTAATATCCTTCTCTTCTTGTCCAGAGAAAGTCAGTCTAAAACAGTCTTCTCCAATGGTCCTCAAGACTTTGAATGCCGAATTTCTTTGTTTTCTCGACCATTTGGTAGTGGAATGTTCATGGAGGAGCTCGCTCCAGGAAACACAGTACAGATTGGTCAAGACGTACAACTTCGTGGGATTGTAAGAGATGGGGACGGTTAGTAGCTTTACTTCTTCCAAACATCAAAAAATAATAATTTCAAAGTTGGCAGATTTACATCTGTTGATGAGGTCTGGAAATAAAACAGTAGAGGTGAACAAATTTTACAAGTTTTAGGCACTTTTTCAAGCAAAATAAAGTTTAAAGTAATCACGTAGTTGAATAAATATCTGACTTAAAAATGCTAAAAAGTTATAGATATATTTTAAATGTTAATTGCCGATTAAAAGTTTTTATTCCTTCATTTCAAAACCCGATTTTTGGACCGATTTATTATAGACAGGCTTGCGTACTTCATTAAAATATGTTTACTTAACTTAATATTCTCTTTTGTATATTAACCTGATTACACGACTTCTACAACTATAAATACATTTCATACATTTTATAAAATTAGAGTTTTTCAACGAAAGCAGTAACTGGTCACAATACGTTGTTAGGGGGATTGTGGAAAACGTTGTATATACATAGTTATACTGACATTACGTTGTTGAGCGAACATTAAATTTACGATAGTAATTGAAGCTACAAGCTAGTATTTATGTGTTCCTTAAGTAAAGTATACTCTATTCTTTCTTCAGTGATGTCCTTCGGTGAGTCTACGATAAGTTTAAAGACTTACAACGCTAATATCTGGGTTTTGATTCTCTCCGATGGATATCCCATTGATTAGCGTTGCGCTAAAACAACAACAACAAACAAATTTTCAGTAGTACTTTAATTAAAATCATTATTTAGAATCATAGAATAGTTATTATATCTAGCTTTGTTGTTCTTTATTTTTATCTACAGAATTTAAAAAGTAACGTGTGTCGGAAGTTTTTAAACTTTATTTAACTATGCAAAAATGAAATTCGGAGTAGATAAGTACGGACGACATCTCCATATGCGTAAGAGAGAGGTGGGTATAATTAGAAAGTATTATGCATCGCAAAGGGAAAGGTATTTGGAAAATAGATCTGACATACCTCAGAGCTCCATCTCAGATAACAGTGTTAATGTGTTAAGGTTTTGTGTATGAATTTCTTCATTTGTTTATAGACACTTAGAGTAACAATAATGTCATCCTGTTGAGAAGGGACCTGGTAGCAATATCACTGACTTTTAATACTTGTCATCAACACCCAAGTTTTGAAAGCGTCCCTAGATCTGGGTCTCTTACTAGATACGTCGATTGGTTTGTCATTTTTGATCAGACCATTTAGCTCAAAGTGCCTTTTCAACTAGAAGTGTTGTGGAATACGTTTAATTCACTTAGCTTTAACCTCGCAGTCATCGAGATGCCCCGCATGACCACCAGATTCGCTCAGAAATCAACTTACCTAACCTCATACGTGAGTGGTATAGGCAGGTAACTTAAATGTTTTAATTACTTTAAATACACACCACTGCTTTTACATTTTATAAACTTTGTTTATAAACCAAAAATGTTTTGTACTCAAAGAACGAGTTTCTTTCTTATTTTGTTGTTATAAATATTATTTTGTATTGTAAGCTTAATATATGGATTTAGAACTAACTCAAATCTCCTAACCTGGTCAAGCTTCTCGAGATAATATTGGGTTTATGGCCGAAAATATATTTAACAGCTGAGAGTACCCAACTGATGAAACAATACATTCTGATCTTTATAAGTAAGAACGTTAGAAAAGCATATTTAATTAGCCATACTTATCATTTTTGATTTAAGCAGGTAGCTTGCGCTAATCTGAAGCTAATATTAAGTAAGCTTTAAGCATGGGGAAACAATAAAAAAATAAGAATTAGATAAAAGTAGATTTTATTTGAAATCGTTACGTAAACAACATAACTGAAAGGGTCGTTTCGATATAGCATCTAAAGTTCGCTTATTATGACTAATTTTATGCGTTTTTCTAATGCTACTTCTAAACAAATTTTATTTGACTGGTTGATAAAAAAATCTAGAGAGTAATAAAAGTTTGTTGTTGTTAAGCAGAAAGCTACACAACAGGCTACCTGTGCTGTGCCCACTGCAGATATCGAAACCAGGTTTTTAGCGTTATTAGCCGTCATACTTACCGCTGAACCACTGGGGGCAAGATAAAAAAAAAGACAGGTAATATGTCAGTAGATTAGCGTTCCAAGGTATCAGTCATTAAAATATACGGCGTATTTAATTTTTATTACAGAAAAATACCTGTAAAGGGGATTTTAGTTTTTCCCTATCCACTCATTGATATTAATATGGCCCCCAAGTGGCACAGCGGTATGGCTGCGGACTTACAAAGCTAGAATCTGGGTTTCGATACCCATGGTGGGCAGAGCACAGACAGCCCATTGTGTATCTTTGTGCTTAATTACAAACAAAGAACAAAGAACAAAAAAATATATTAATATGTACTATTATTTCACAGGTTGGTACTATGCCGTGCTCCGTGACGTAATAGTCCAAAGAATAAAGACTTCGGAGTCTGGTTCCCAGCACTTCTCTCCTTCCACAGTCTTTAACCCTAGTTATAGTTACTCATCAGAAGCACTTGATTTCGGCGTTTCGCAATTCAATCCTAGAACTGATGGAAGCGAGCGAATTCTTGAGAATAAACTGGATCTTTCTCCACAGGGACTCAAAGATGCTTCTCTTCTAACTACTGATATCGCTTTCTTGGTCTTTTCAGATGGGTAATTTTTCAGTTGATAACTTCACAGTTTTCTTAACATATTAAATAAATTTTAAAAGTAGTTTTTTTTTTCATTAAGAAAAGTGTTTACATTTTAGTATTAGATTTACATTATTACTTTTCACTATTTGACTTTAACTTTAAGTTAATCAAACATGTTATTTTGAAGCTAATTAAATGCATTATTTCTGTCCAGATGTCGCAATCCAACTTTTAAAGCTATCGCACCTAATCATCCGTACCGTGATGCGTCAAAACCACTGGAGGTAAACTTTAACTTCAAAGCCTTCATGTTCGACGATATGAAAGATGGGGATGTGCTGCGGATTTCAGCTCGAGTGGTAGCATGTATAGAAGCTACCGATTGCCGCCCGGTAGGTTGTTGTTTTTCTGATGCAAAGTTACATAATTTGCTCTCTGCACTTTGTTCACGGCAGTGAATCCAACCCCAGATTTTAGCTTTGTAATTCCCTAAACTTACCGCTGACCCACTGGAGGACCGTCCGGTACGTAAACAGTGAAAACAAATATTCAGACTGAAAAGTAAATAAACAAACAAAGTGTTAGATAGATAAACAGCATATATATGAATTAAATTAAGTGTCTCACAATGTATCGCTGAACATGAGCTACTAAATGGTTTACTAAAGGTAAAAGTAAGTATGAAATTTTAATCTTCCATAGATCAAATTCCGTGTGTAACTTATCTCTTCAGCTTTCAGCAGGGAGTCTTCTCTGTATAAAAGGCTGGAACAAGCGATCCGCTACAAGTAGTTGATCTAAACTCATTTGTTGACATGACACTGCTTCCTTGCTTCTTTTACCAGTTTTTGTCTTTGTTAAAACTAACTTAGTAGTTTATTGGCTTGTCCTGAGCGTATCTAATTAATTAGACACATGCTTGATGTTTATAAGACTGGATTTTTATGTTTATAGACTAGATAGTTGTAGCTATATTATTTCATTGGTGTAAGCGATAACCATTTTTACAGCTGGATGTTATACACCAACATTTGGTACATAATTACATTCAGTATAACACAAAAGAAATTATCAGTATACTTGTATACGTGATTATACACTGAGTGGTCACAAGTAAATAGACACCTAATTTTTCGTCATTTAACTGATTTATGCTAACTAATTTGTGTTTACAGAGCACTATATAAAAGAAAATGGTCCACACACTAATTATCTTGTGCTACAACATGCCTAGAACTCAAAGTTCTGTCGAATTGTCAGATTTTGTTAGAGGAAGGATAGTTGGTCAAGCAGATGGTGGGATAA